GAGGGTAAGGCAGCCAAATGGCTAGATGGTTTAGTTGCAAAGGCCGGGTACGGACGACGCATGGCGGACTGGGCTAAGACAATCACGTTAGACCAGTTCATGGAGATGGTAGAAGCTCGATGGCACAATCCACAGCAGGCGCAAATGGCCACTGATGCGATGCACATACTAGACCAACGAAAGTTCAAGTCGGTCAGAGAGCTTACGACTACCGTTGAGAGCCTTATCGTCGTCCTTGGCATCAACTATGATAACCAATTCCTGTTGACCACATTTGTAAGAAGTCTTCCAGAGAACCTCAGGAACTTGGTGGCCAGGGAGGCTCGCCTCGAGTATCACTCTTTTGAGACATTGCCTAGAAAAGCCTTAGACTTAGAGGTCACTCTAGGGAATGCTCAACCTACTCAGAATGACTCACAGAAGAAGAAGAGTCCGCAGGAATGGAAGAAGAAAGGGGCTAAATTGATGATGGTTGAGTCCGATGGGACTCAAACAGAGATCGATGAGCTCACAGACCTGCTGGACGCTTCAGAGTACGACGGCGAGGAGATCGCTGAGGGTAGCACCCTCGCCGCAGTAGTCAAGGCTAAGGCTGGTGGCCGAGTGAAGGGCCATCCAAAGAGTCAAGGGAAGGCCGCCTCCAATCAGACCAAAGTGGATGATTGGGTCAAGGCAGGTCTTGATCAGGAAGTGTGGCGGGACCGCCGAGTGCGTTGTGCTTGTATTAACTGTGGTGAGTACGGACACACCCAGTACAAGTGTCCAAACGCGAAGGTCACGCAGAAGATACCTCCTAAGATGGGAGCATCTTTTTCCCAGGCTTCTAGCTCGGGAAACACGTGAGGCCGGTGGAAGTTTTAACTGCTTATACTCATGGTGAAGTGGGCCCGATACCCTCCCCACTTCATGAGATGGCCATAGCTAAATGACTCTTTAGTGACCCCGCAGACTCATCCAGACCAAACTATGCTATGTACGTTGGATGTGTCTGAAACCTTAGAAGATCTGGAAAGCGAGTGGTCAAACAAGGACCCTCGTGAATCTTGGGTGGCACTAAGGAAAGGTCCTAGAGGGGAACATTTTGTCGTGGAAGTTGATGTAGGAGGCCGCAAATGTGGAGCCTTCATAGACATTGGCTCCACGCGGAATTACATAAGTCGCGACTGTTTGGAAAGGCTGCGCCTACAGGACCGGGTACAACACCTTAGTAAACCTGTAGCATCTACTTTGGCCAATAAGGAGCGCATGATTGTCACAGACTATATCAAGGATGTAGTCTGTACCTTCTTCTATGGAGGAGGGGAACTGAATCATAAGATTTCGTTCCTGATTAGTGATGACTTGCCGTTTGACATGTTGTTAGGCATGTACTACCTTGAGGTTGCTAAGCCCCAGTTCGACTGGGACAAGAAGGTGCTTAAACATAAGTTGCCCGATGGCAGAACAGTCAGATTGACTAAGTTCAAAGCCAGTAGCATTATAGATACCTATGGCTGCTTGTGTGCATCAACGTTCTACAACTATTACAAACAGAACCAAGAGGAGGGTATGTTCCTAGTGTATGTCTCTGAAAAAGGGGAGGCCGTTAAAACACCCCCAGAGATAGAACACGTCGTTGCTAAGTCCCCTGATCTGTTCGAAGAGCCTACAGGAGTTGTAGAAAGGGAAGTTGTCCACGCTATAGGAATCATTTCAGGGAGTAAAACCCCAAAGGGAAGGATCTATAGGATGGCTCCCGCCGAGTTAGATGAACTTCGGCGACAACTGAAAGAGCTGACAGAGAAGGGATGGATCCGGCCTAGTACTTCCCCTTACGGATCTCCAGTACTATTTGTACCAAAGAAGGGGGGTACATTGAGGATGTGCATTGACTATAGAGGCCTCAATGCCATCACAGTGAAGAACGCAGAGCCTCTACCTCGCATAGACGACCTACTGGATAGGGTGCAGGGATGCAAGTACTATAGTAAGATAGACTTGAAATCCGGCTATCATCAGATCACTATAAGACCTGAGGACCAACACAAGACAACTTTTCAGACTCGATATAGTCTGTATGAGTTTGTAGTGATGCCCTTTGGTCTTTGCAATGCGCCGGGAACATTCCAGCACGCCATGAATCGGATCTTCCATGACCACTTAGATAAGTTTATCGTGGTTTACCTTGACGACATTCTGATCTTTAGTAAGTCTGACGAGGAGCATGCACAACACGTTGAGACTGTACTTTCACTCCTGCGACAGCACAAGTATGAGGTCAACCTAGAGAAGTGTGAGTTTGGTCGCACTAAGATATTATACTTGGGTCATGAAGTATCCGCGGAAGGTATTAGGTCGGAAGATGCGAAGGTGGCTAGTATTCGAGACTGGCCACGACCTCAGACTGTCACTGAGGTCAGATCTTTCTTAGGAATGTGCGGCTACTATAGGAACTTCGTAAAGAACTATTCTACAGTCGCCTCTCCTTTGACAGATCTAACTCGACTTGACACGCCGTGGGACTTGGGTGATGAGTGTGAGGGTGCTTTCAAGCGATTGAAGCATGCACTCATGAATCATGAAGTTCTCATGGTTCCCGATCCTCAAAAGCCATTCATAGTAACCACTGACGCAAGCCAATACGGCATTGGCGCAGTGCTGGCTCAGCAGGATGGGAAGAAGTTGAGACCGATTTAGTACATGAGCAAGAAAATGCCATCGAAGAAATTGGCTAAGTCCACCTATGAAAGGGAACTCTATGCTCTCTACAAGGCACTTGTCCATTGGAGACACTTTCTGTTGTGACGGTTCTTCTTTTTAAGAACTGACCATCAGACGCTCAAATGGATCAAGACTCAACCGTTTCTTTCTGATGCACTTAAGCGCTGGATTGAGGTCATAGATCAGTATGACTTCAAGCTTGAGTATCTGAAGGGAGAGTACAACAATGTTGCGGATGCGCTATCTCGTAGAGCAGACTACCTAGGGGCGCTAGTTTTTGAGTTTGGTGTATCTCAGGAAGTAACTCAATCGTTGGTGGGAGCCTATCAGGAAGACCCTGTCATGATGGACATCATGCGCAAACTTCAGGCAAAAGACAAGGCCACAAAAAGTGAGTTTGTGATGGTGGATGGGTTACTCTTTCTTGATAAGGACAGTGTAAAAGGTTAGTAGTTCCATCAAGTGAGAGTTTGCGTAGTTTATTTCTAAGAGAATGCCATGACGCAACCGGGCACTTTGGTTACAAAAAAACGAGTGATAATCTAGTACAGCGATATTGGTGGCCTGGAATGCTAGATGACGCAAAGAAGTATATAGAGACCTTTCACGTCTGTCAGCGGGACAAGCCGCGAACTCAAGCACCGCTTGGGTTGCCGAAGCCCTTACCTATCCCTGCTGGTCCAGGACAAAGTGTTTCCATGGATTTCATGGACACCCTGGTGACCAGTAAGAGTGGCAAGAGGCACATCTTCGTCATCATCAATCGATTCACCAAGTACGCTAGACTAGTTGCCATGCCAGAGACCGCAAGGACTGACCACGTCATCAAGTTGTTTATGGACAACTGGGTGCGTGATTTTGGACTTCCAAAGTCAATCGTTAGTGACAGAGATGTCCGATTCACAA